TGAAGTCCCTCGGCCCTTAAAGGGGAAAGGTTGCCTACCCCTTCTCAAAATTCTGCAGCATAGACCAACCATAGATGGAGAGAGAAATTTCTGAGGTGCAAGTAGGATTCAGAAAAGGAAGAGACACTAGGGATCACATTGCAAACATACAATGGCTAATGGAGTGCACCAAAGAATTCCAAAAAAGAATCAGCATGCGTTTCATAGACTACAGCAAAGCATTTGATTGTACAGATCACAAAAAGCTATGGAATGCACTCAGGGCATGGGGGTGCCACTACATCTGATAGTCTAATGAGGAATCTGTATACCAAGGACAAGAGGCCACCATCAGAAGGAACCCCCCCAACGCGTCGGGAGGGGCCCTCCATTGTGTCGGCCAACTGGGAGATTCTGATGCCTTGATTGGCTGGGCGGGCAGGAAGTCCCGCCCTTCCTGCGCAGCCCAGCCAATCAGGAGGATCTCGTGAGATCCCCAGCACACTGGTAATCTTGTGAGACTTTGGGCTCTCACGAGATTACCGGCGCGACTTGGGGGCTATATAGCCCCCAGCTGCTGTGTGGCGGCAGCCATTTTAGTTGGAGCAGCCGAACGAGATGCTTCGGCTGCTCTGAGTTTGAGCCTTGGATTTTGAGGCGTGGCCGCTGTTCCTGCCTGGTCAGGCTTCAGAGGAGGCTGGGAGGTGCGGACGAGCGGCTGGGCTCCTCCAGTGCGGCGGCTTCCTTGGCCTCGGCTGGGCCTGAGGCGGCTTGGTGAAACCTTGTGGGATTGAACTGGCCTGTGCAGGTCTGTGGTGAGGCCTAGGCCAGCCCGGAGGCCTGAGCGGCTGGTATTTTGAGGCTTGGTTTGGTCTTGGGCCCAGTTTGGGCTCAGTGCGGGTGGAGGCGCCCAGCTAGGGTGGCCTGGTGGGGCCCTTGGGGCGGCATCCCGTGTTCCTCAGGGAGCAGCCCAGGGTCCTTTGGGAGGCCAATGGCTTGGTGGATTGGGTCCGGCCTGGTCCCTCGGACAAGGAGAGGCCTGGTGGCTGGATTGAACATTCAAGCCCCCCCTTTTTCCTTGCTAACACCCGGCTGGGATCTCCTGGCTGGGGTTTGAACGTGTCCCTACTTGGGATTGGTTAGGCTATCGTGGCCTAGTGTGTGTCCCTGC